TCTGCAAAAAGTGTGTCCACATGGTATAAACGCCGCCCCCTTGTGCCTCACCATGCACACACAACAGCTGTTATAATCGGTGACGGTGGGGGCAGCGGCGCCACTGTCATTGTCCTCCTCCTCGGTCGAGTACGCTGATCCACCCAATCCCATTTCCCTATCTGTCTCTGCCAACAATGCCATTAATGACATCCTCACTGGCTGCCGCTCCCCTCCACTCTCTTCGTTTCCCATCTCCTCCTCTTCGCTCCCGCCTTCGCCTTGGACTTGTTCTGCCTCTACCTCTGTGGGTGATGCTTCATCTCCTTCATCTTCCCTTGCTCCCGGCACTGATAATGAATTAGTATCCTCGTTTGTTCTCCCCGCCGCACGGTTCGCATTCCACTGGTAACTTGGGGATGAGCTGCTTCTCCGGTATGACATCAGGTCTCTATCTACATCAGACACTGTGGCAATATCTGGCTGAGTGGACTGGTCCAAGTAGGGCTGCGTGAACATCCGGCTACTGGTACTATTCACGGCGTTTGTATTGTTGCCTCGATTGATGGGGGTTTCAGAGGTGGGCATGCGCATTGAGGAGGTCCAGGATGAACCGGGCCCGGAGCCACCGCGGCGGAAGCGAAGCTTGCCTTTTAAACCTTTCCAGCTCTTTTTGTTATCCTTCATATGCGCATTGTTAAACGTTTGGTCCTCTTGGATTATATCTAACAGTGTTCGAAATGACTGGATCCGTGGCGGTGACGACACCTCCGGACCTTCCGACGGTAACCTTCTGTCGCTCAAGACAGCGGTTAATGTTATGCCGGCCAGGTTGTTTCGGCCGCCGACAGTATTTCTGTTCATACTGTTATCCTGTTTAATTCTTAGAAAATCCTGAAGTTTCTCCCTGCCGACGGTATCCATTCACGACTGAATGGAAAAAAATATATTAATACACAAAAGGAAAAGAAGGAATTTAGGGTTCTTTGTGATAGTTTTTCTCGGGAATTTAACGATGTGAAACTTCGTTTATCGGCAAACGTAATGAGATTTCTTGGAATCCGAATTTCAAATAAAAAACTGATGAAAACAAAAGGGTATATGTAACTATGTTGAACGAAACAATCGGAAAATGGGACTTTTCCGGATCTGAGAAAAAGATTCAAAGTCAAAGAAAATTGGATTCCTACAGTGAAAAAGCATCGGATACGCTTCGTGGGGAACTATCAAACCAGAGAACAGTACCAGATCTGAAACTGATACAGCCTTTTCCCTTTTGATGTAAATGAGAAATTAATACGAATTTTGCGTCGGCAATTTGAGATAAAATGAAGAGAAATCGGAGAAACAGTTTGCTAAAAACTTTTTGTATGTTGTGATAATGGAGTGGGGGTGTTATAAATGATAAATCTTTTGTCCTTTGTTTGTTGGCCCAACGTTGTTTCCATTTTTCTCTATCCATTGAAGAAATAAAATAGGAAAAGATTGCTCTCTCTCTCTCATAGTCTCATGGATCAGCTGATTCTCGAGTGTGTGTTGTGTGTGAGAGATAGAGAGGATTTGGGACCAGAATGCTTTACAAGTCAGTCTTTCGGAGGCAGCCATTATATTCACTAATTCCTTTGCTGGCTCTATTTTGGCGACGACTATGGCATCCAATGCCACTGGCCGTGTTTGCGGTGGCTTAAGCCTAATAAAGTTATCACAGTTTTTAATATGTGGATCCAAGTCACACATAAAAAGCTTATTTTTAGCATAAGCTGCTCCAAACATGCCTCTAATCTATCATAACTTTAGTATTATCAGTCTTCAATCTTCTTAATTGTCATTTCAGGTCCCTGCAGATTTCCATCTAGAATTTCTGTTAACGTTAAACTGTGTTATAAGATGAATTTATTTTTAGATAAAGATTAAATACAAAAACGAAATTGAAACACATTTCTTCTTGTTCTCACACCCCTAAATACTTCAATGGAAGAGTTTTATACCATATGTGGCAAAGGTAGCAAACAGATCGAGTTGTTTGCAAGCTCGACTCGATCCATGAATCGCTTGAACTTGTATTGAGGCGAGTCATGGATCGAATCGAACTCAATTTTTCATTCATGAGCTGAGATAGCTCGGCTCGGCTCGGCTCATGGGCTTGATAACGAGCTAGCTTGTATTAAACTCGTGAATCAAGTTCACAAGCCTACTAGCTCAGCATAGTGGAAATTGTTCATTTGATCAACTTCGTAAAGAAATCTCTATTAAGGTACAAATCATATTCTAGAAAAACATTTCGTTTCATATATTGTTAATTTATACAATAAAAAAGGCTTGGATAATGAGTAATTTAAATAAATATACTGATATTTTATCATTTATATTTGATTGGTTCAGTATAACCATAAATGTTAAAACCCGCCATTGCACATTACATATATAAACAATGGAAAATTTATTACATTTAAAGTAATTGAATATCCTCGTAATTTATTAAATATTTTCTATGCTTTAATAAGCATTGCTATAGAATTTAATTGTGAAATTAAAATTCATAGTTTTACATTCGATAATGTGATGGTCAACACAGTTATAATTCAAAAATTAACTCGTCTACTTAAAATGAGCTAAACATTGAGGATGACAACAGTAATTTAGTCTTTCAGAAATGATGCATTAAAAAATCATTAAGTATTTCAACAATAATAGACACACTACTAAAGACTAAAGAGAGGCTCAATAATAGAGAACTAAAACTATTAAGCTTGAAAAAGAAATGCCATCCGACTCAAATTGAGCTAAGGCCCTGTTTGATAGGGCAAGTTTTTTATGAAAGATGGAAATTTTTTTGTCATTTTTCACTCTTTAGAGTGTTTGATATGAAACATTTTTCAGGTAATTGATTTTCTACATTTTCTTGCTTTTTGAGGTAAATCAATTCCC